TAGTCACATTGTATCCTGAATGTCGAATGTCAAAGGGAAAAGGTTTAGAGAATTTATCAAGAATTGGTATCAACTAGGTCGACAAATTAATGTCGATCATTACGTAGCGTACGGGGTATTTAATGTGACACGAATAAACCCATTACGTAAAACTTTATATCGAACAAGGAAAGAAAACTCACCTTCTAAAAACTTATCAACCAATTCTACTCCAACCTTGTCATAAACCTCCTTTTGCGTAGATTCGGGTCCAAAGACACAGTCGAAATTAAAGTTTTGTTTCTTTTCGCCTTGGACTGTGACTTGATTAGGTGAAAACGATGATGTATGTACAACATTACGTTGAAAACGACTTGGTAGAGTGGCAAGGTCTTGAGCAGTCAACGGGCGTATACGTAAAACTAGAAACAAAACGCAGAGAAAAGAAATTTAGCACAAATTTGGTCGCATTGATAGAAATAGAATGTATTTGTGTCAATTGCTTTAATCAGTGACGAAAAGTCCTCGGTTGACCAAGAGACGTTAGCATCCCGATTTCTTTTATTCAAGTGTGCATATTTCCCGCTCTTTGCCTGCTTTCGTATGTCAGTATTTGTTCACTTACCGACTTGCACAGAAGTCTTTTCTGAGCCCGAACCGGCAGTGGCCATGTTTTGTATATTATGATCTAGAAGAATAGGATATTACAATGCGTTTTTGATATAACCGATCTTATGTATACAAGTGGTGAATGGGAAGGGGAGGGGAGAGTAGACGGAAACGGTTGCTGAACGTTCGATACTGTTAATATCTTTCAATTGTAGCCTACTCTTTCTTGTAGACGTTGGTTTGCAGTTTTTCTATCAATTCTTTCTTTTTTTTTTGAAAAAACAAACTTCTAAAACAACGAACTATACTTTTTTTACTGTTTTCGATTATTTCTCTGAGTGAATTTTTTTGCAAGTAAAACCTCCTGGTCAAAGGAAAAGGTTTGTATATTGACAAGTGTGTGTGAATTAGTATGTTGTGTGTTTTGTAGTCGTGCGGGGGTCGTTATGGACTTTCCCGAGTGAGCAGAGCGATAAATTAGCGTTGAAAGGGAAAGTAGTATGAACAAAAAGTTATTAATTAAATAAAGAGAAGAAAAGAGAGAAATTATCGTGGTAATAGAATAAGGTAGGATTATATTGATTTATTTTCTGTGGCATATGAACAACGGAAAAAGGAGGGAATGCATGAGTGCAAGTTTGGTAATACCTAATATATGATAATATATACATTCCTACTTTAATGTACGATTTGTTACTTTAGTTGGTTTATTAGAGACAGCTTGTCTAGCACGCAATTGGTGAATGTGACAGTGAAATTTTAATTTTGGGCACAAACCAAAGGAACCCGTGTTACAGTCAATGAGAAAAGACTAATTGCGGGGGGAGGAAATAAGAGGGGATTAGCTAACCCGACCGGAAAGAGAAAAAAGCGAGTAAAAATGGATGACAGTAGAAAGAAGGTTTAAATTTAAAATATGTAATAATACATGGGATTAGAGTTATTCAAATGAGAGATATTAGTATGAAGATGATAATAATGTCATGGTCCTGTATTATGACAGTATTGTCAACTCGATTATGTAGTGTAGTATATAAATGATATACATATTATTTATTTATACAGTCCTTATTGTAATGCAACCCGGCCCATCGGTGTAAACTGCGGACACCAATAAAGTACAAGTACGAATGTTGTTTAAGATGGTCGTTGTACCATGTGTATGTACTTAATAGTATTATAAATATATTTACGATTAATAAGTCAATATAATATTTGTCACTTTATACAAGTTTCAAACTTAAATTTCATAATAGGGTGTTGTAGCTCTCATGCTTGATTGCTCCATGCTATATTTTGTACTTGGATGGATGGAACGTTGCAAGCATAAAGAAAGCAAGTAGTAAGAATGCAAGATTGACTATATATATGTAATCGCTAGCAATTTATGCATTCTATTTCACTAACCCTTTGTTCATTGTTTTTTAAGCATAACTGGGTTCAATCGTGTTAGAGTGGTCTACCAATGCAACAAGCAATAAGCAACAAGCAACTTTATGCATCGACTGGAAACGTTATCGCAAAACCGAGTCTATCAATATTTAGAAACTAGTCACAAAGCAAATCTTACATGGCAAATATAATAACTAGAAAAAACCGCTTAAGTAAACGCTCGTATATTACAGTTAATGAGACTACCATGTGGATTTAAAACTGTGATGCATACAATAACCATTTTTATTCAATGGAAATAGTTAAATCAACTTGTATTCCCACTCAATCTAACTCTCGCAGTAAATATATATACATGCCAATAGAATTTGAGCTTAGAAAAGATCAATTATTAACAATGCTTCGGTTATCATTGAAATAAGTTTAATTAAGCATTAATTCGTAAGGCTAAAATAAAATATAATGAAATACGGCTTGGCATTTGTAACATTTGTTCATGTTCAACAGTTCAACTTTCTATCTCGTCATGACAGTTATGTTGGACTGTATTCTATGCGACGCTCGATGAATATGATCTAACCAATCAGCAGAAATTAGGCCATGCAAGTTATTACGTGTTCAATCACATGTAACGTAATTAAGCCGATAACCATATTTATACATTTTAATATGATCGTAAAAGTACAGATTATTGATAAACAAGTGGGAGGCGTTAGGGTGACAGCGTTAAATGCATGGTCATGAGGGTAGGGGCTTGTTTATGTATTTGTGTGCTTGAGCTGTCCAAGAGTGGTTTCTAAGTGTCGCACATAACAACTAGACATATGTTGGCGTGACTGCTTGAATGCAATGTACACGATGTTTATTTATTTGTTTTTGTGTTTAATTGGTGATAGGAAGACAACAAATAACTAGACGAATAGTATTAGTCAAATAAGCTGTGGATCATAACCAGGAAATTAGGATATTTACATTGATTATGTTTACTCGATTCTGGTTACATTTTGTATCGATATTTCAGATACGATAATCAATGTATGATATGAGTTAGGTGACAGATGGATTTAAAAACAAAACCATCATGGCGAATACAAAATACTATGATCATCTTGTTTTATTGTAATGACAATGGTTGTGGATTATTAGATAATTGAATAAATTGTATTAAAAATTTATATAATAATCAATTAATGGACGAACAAACAAATAAACAGGTGAATAATGATAAGATTTCCCGAGTGATTGCAACAATAATCTGTATAAAAGAATCAGGTGATCAGAACGGTTTAAATTGCACTTTAACAATTACGTTTACCACAGATCCAAGGCACCACCAGAACGTCTATGCGACCGAGTACTTCATATTGACGGCATCAACTACATATAAATTTCCAAAATAAATAAAGATTTGACACATTGAATGGCTAGCTCACTTCAGTTGTTATCCATTATTGTCTGATCTGTCCATGCATTCGGAAAGATGCCAATCGCAAGGACATGCTCAAATCATGACAGAATCCAAATCTTACCTAATTTGAACGTGCCAATCTTGTAACTGGTAGACGTCAGCAACAGCATAAATTATGTTACAATAACCGCTGGTATGCAATGTCATGAAACATATGAAGATATCTTATTGAATATTTAATTTTTTCTTTTTGCAGAAACATTATCCGAAAGAATTGAGTTGCTTTCGACACCCAAAGTTTGGCAAATCTCGTTGTTATAGTAATGACCAGAGTCATTATCGCTGAGCATGTTGAGTATAGCCGATTTAATTTACTAACGATCCTCGTCTCAACGTATACATCAAAGTGTTGGTATTCAGATCGTAATTATTCTTGCTGGATATTCAATAATAAGCTAATTGGATACCTACATTGTTAGAACGGTAACCCAAAATTAACCTTTTTTTCCCCAGATTATCAATTCTAGCAACTGGATTTAGACTTAAGTTTTCGCACAAGCCATACAATTATTATGCGTTGTCATTGTACTTTGTGTAAACAATACTCGTACTATTAGCAATGTCAAAATGGGTATTTAATCATATCCGATCCGTAGATGATGCATTGATATGTCAAGAAATTTTGCATCATTATCAGTATAGTCATTGTCATATGACTTAATAGTTTACGTCACATTACTATCATTATACTACACACTTTCTCGGGGAAAACCCTCTACTGCAAATACGTAAGCTACCGTACCTGTAAACTTCTGCAGTACTTTATAAAGACATAAGACTGCCATATCGAAAGACAGCTCGGCAGGATCTAATTGGTGCATACCAATATAGAAATGATCGCACCATTCGCACGAATAACTTTTCAGTAGATTATCTGCCTATTGCGATTTGAAACAATGAATAACAACGTACATATCCTAAATAATCATGAAGCATTGGAGGAATACAATCGTCCATTAATTTTCTTGTCCCACTTATTACTACTGGTATCAATGTCTTTACGGCTTTCTTGTAAAGCGAGCGACTAAATAAGTCAACTATTCACGCGGAAAGTTACGACGAGTCACACGATTAAAAGTAGGTTTGATTAGTAAACCATCAAATTAAATTTCCGAAAACAATAATATTTTTTAAACATTGTACCAGCCCCGAGTTTAAAACCTTAATGCATTCAGTGTAACATAAACAACTTACGAAAGCGAGCAGTTACGTCTAATAACAATAAAGTAAAGAAGAAAAGAAACCTTTGCGTAGCCGTATTAAGATAATAAACGCATTTAGGAAGCGAACTTGGATTTAAGTAAGAACTATGAAACAACTATACGTAACATTATAGCTCAATTGGAAAAATAGATAATTAAAATGTCAACATTAATATTAATACTATTTGTTATTATGTTTAACGGGTTAACAAATCGATGACTAAATTAGGAAAAACAAAGTTTTTGTCAATACTAACAATAGGTGACGCTACTGAAAATCTATACAATACATCATATCTTTATTAAATATAGAGTTATAATTACACTTTGTTTTACATCATTCTTTACCTCCATAAAATAACCCATATAATATAACAACCATACCATATTGTGATTATCCTATATCCTATAATATGACTAATAAACCCTCAGAACACAACATTTCAATATCAAAATTGACCACACCCAATATTTATAAGCTTATACTAAACATCTTTTGCTTTTTTGCTTTGATACAACTCATTTAATTCTTGAACTTTACGTTCTAACTTAGACCTATCATCATATTGTAAAAGATAAATCTTGTTTTTCGCCTTAGCATATCCTTGATCAGCTGCTTTTTCATACAACTCAATTGCCTTTTGCTCATTCTTTTCTACCCCAATACCATGTTCATAAAAATAACCAAGATTATATTGCCCATATGCATTGCCCTGTTTAGCTATTTTTTGAAATAATTCAATAGCTTTTTGATGATTTGTTTCCATGCCAGTGCCAAGCTTATAACAGAGACCAAGGTTGTTTAATGCAATAGTGCTTGTATCACTGAAATTATATTGAGCAAGCACAACTTTACTTTCTTGTTCAGCTGCTTTTTGATACCACTCAACAGCCTTTTGTTCATCTATTTCTACTCCAATTCCATGCTGATAACAGTGACCAAGACTAAATTGTGCAGTAGCATTCCCTTGGTCTGCAGCTTTTTGATACAGTTCAACAG